CATTGAGCCCTTTGGACACATTATTTCATTTAGTCCTCAAACACAGTCTGTATGTATCCCTCTTCTGTCCATAAACTTGTCCACACATCCAGCTATCTATCCTTCCACTCACCCATACATTCATGCATCCACTTGTCCACACATCCATCCATTCATCCATCCATCCACACATCCACACATCCATCCATTCATCCATCCATCCACACATCCACACATCCATCCATTCATCCATCCACACATCCATCCATCCATGCATCCACACATCCACACATCCATCCATTCATCCATCCATCCATCCATCCACACATCCGTCCATCCATCCATCCATCCACACATCCGTCCATCCATGCATCCACACATCCACACATCCATCCACACATCCATACATCCATCCATCCATCCATCCATCCATCCATCCACACATCCGTCCATCCATCCATCCATCCATCCACACATCCACACATCCATCCATTCATCCATCCATCCACACATCCACACATCCATCCATTCATCCATCCATCCACACATCCACACATCCATCCATCCACACATCCATACATCCATCCATACATCCATCCATCCACACATCCGTCCATTCATCCATCCATCCATCCACACATCCATCCATTCATCCATCCATCCATCCATCCATCCATCCATCCATCCACACATCCGTCCATCCACACATCCATCCACACATCCACACATCCATCCACATATCCACACATCCATCCATTCATTCATCCATCCACACATCCACACATCCATCCATTCATCCATGCATCCATCCATGCATCCATCCATCCATCCATCCATCCATGCATCCATCCATCCACACATCCACACATCCATCCATTCATCCATCCACACATCCGTCCATCCATCCATGCATCCATCCATCCACACATCCACACATCCATCCATCCATTGACACATCCATCCATTCATCCATCCATCCATCCACACATCCACACATCCTCCATGCATCCAAACATCCATATATCTAATCCATCCATCCATCCATCCATCCATCCATCCACATGTCCACCCATCCATCCACCCCCTCATCCACCCATCTATCCATCTACCCATCCATCATCCATCCATCCTATAAACATTTACAGAGCACATCTCTGTGTCAGGTATGGCGGGCGTTCTACTTTTCTAAGAAAATAAAGCCACAAGCATCAAAGACAAAACCTAAATCAATAAATCAATATAGGTAAAACAAAATGTATGTTTTGAAGGGGGGGCATCACTTGCATTTTGAATTATGCAATTTTTCTGTTAATATTTAAGTGTCATGTTATTAGTGAAGAATTTATTTCTCAAATCCCTCAAATCTTCAATAACATATATTTTTTTAATTGAGACAACTGATTTTACCCCCAGAAGAAAGTCTTATTTCAAAGCCAGGAAAGCACTGGAAGCAGGACAACCCTTGTGTGTCCCCATGGCGGCTACTCTGTGGGTCGGGCACCCTCTTGTCTCTGGGATGCTGCTCTGACACACGGAGGGGGTGTCCAGGTCCTCCCAGTGGAGGGGCTCCCTGGGCAGCCACCAGGTGGCAGCAGCAACGTGGCATTGTCTCTTCACGTTTGCCCCTTCACCCACTGCAGAGGAGCCTCTAACAACACACAGTGTAACCACGGAAGAGAGGCCAGGGAGCCCACAGGCAGAGACGAGACAATTGCACCAGGAATCTGATCTGATAACGACTGCAATGGGCACTACAGTCACTGCAAACCTCCCGGAAATGTAGACATCTCGGGAGACGATGGCTGATGAGGCTGTCCATCAGCCCTCAGGCAGGAGAGGAGTGTTCGCCCAGCGCTGGGTTCTAGAGTCTTTATTAGTTGCATCTTGAAGGTCATTTGGACGCAGCACAGGTGCGGTCTGCATCCGAGGAGAGGCAGAGGCAGCTCCCCGTGTGGGACGCAGCACAGGTGCGGTCTGCATCCGAGGAGAGGCAGAGGCA